GATAAACATGGGTATGCATATATCTACTTGGGTGCCATTTACCCATAGCATTCTTAAGTATTGCAACTCAAAGCTTGAATTTGTTCTTCAGTTCCTTCAGCTTAAGAAATGCCAAGCAAATTCAGTGCTTTTGATCTTCTGACTCTAGCTCTCTGCACATGTCATTATAATACCTTCCTCTGTCATCCTGTGCAACCCCAGAAATTTCCTGTTCAACTCCTTAATTTCTTTATTTCTTCCTTTTGCTTTGGCTTCTCGGTGTTCTAGTGCAATATTCAGAGTCTCTTCTGACATTCATCTCAGCCTTTTCTTCCTCTCCTTTCGAATTTTTACTGCATGATATTCTTGATATCCTCCCACAGATCATCTGGTCTTCATTCATTACTGTCAAGGCCTCAAAACGGTTTCTGTGATGGTTTTGAAATTCAGGTAGGTAGACTTAAGGTCAAATTTTGGTTCCTATGGATTTAACCTTCTTTAGCTTTACTTTGAATAAGAATAGTTGATGGTCTTTTCCACAATCAGCACCAGATCTAGTTTTCACAGCTGATAGTGAGGTTTTCCATCGATTCTTTCCACAGATGTAATCTATCTGATTCCTGTGCATATTACCAGGTAAAATCCATGTGTGTAGTCTGTGTGTGTTTCTTATAAAAGTTATCTACAATGAATAAATCATTGATTGTATAGAAATTTATCATTCTATCTCCAGCCTCATTTCTGTAATCAAGCCCATGTTTTCTGACTACTGATCCTTCTTCCCTGTTTCCACTTTTGCATTCCACTCACCCATTATTATTAAGCCATCTTGATTGCATGTTAGATCAATTTCTGACAGCAAAAGTTGGGAGAAATAATCTCTTTCCTGTTCTTTGCCTCTGGTTAATTTTTATAGACGTATTTAAAAGAAACAGGTAATTGAATAATAAATTACTATAGTTATAAGTCAGAGTAATAATACAGTAACTTCTCAATTAATATATCCAGAGTTTAAAGTAGAATACCTTTTATCCAATGACTTGTTTCTCCTAACCACTTACAGAGTATTATTTCAGGCAAATGTACTCATATTCACAGAGTAAGTATTTTAGGCAGCCATACTCACATTTTCTGTTGCTGTTGTTATTATGTGCCATCAAGTCACCTGCGACTCACAGCAACCCCATGTACTCTAGCTCTGAATCCTACCCTATCCTGAGCCAATCTCATCATCTCTGACACACCTAATACCATTTCTCCAGTCGCAGAGTCAATCCAATCCATCTCACCCTGGGTCTTTCTCTCCCACATTGTCCCTCTTCAAGGACTGGTACCTCCTGACCACATCCCCAAAGTATATGCGACAAAGCCTCAAAATCTTTGCCTCTAGGGAGCAGCCTCTTTTTACCCTCTCCAAGACAGACTTGTTTGTTTTCCTGGCAGTCCATGGTATTTTCACCATTCTTCCCCATCACCACAACTTAAAGGTGTTAATTCTTGTTCTCTTATTTTATACTGTCTAAGCATTTCAGGGAGATGTATTCATTCTGACAACATATAAGCATCTGAGAGAAACAAGTCACTGAATAAAAGTTACTCTATTTTAAACTCTGGGTATGTTAATTGAGAAGTTACTGTATTATTTTCTGACTTATAACTGTAGAATCAATTTATTGTAAAAATCCAATTAAATTACAGAACTAAAAAAAGGAACAAGGATAATTAATGAGTGAAATGCCCTGTATGTACTCATAATAGAAGTTAGGAATCATTTCTGCCATGAGCCTATAACTTATTAGAAAATATTTTCATTGTAACAGACGGAGGCAATGAGATTGGCACAGGATAGAGCACAGTTTAGGGCTGTTGTACATAGGGTCGCTACGAGTCGCAAACGACTCGACGGTACATAACAACAACAACAGAGAAAATGCATGTTCTTAACCTATTTTCAAATTAGTTTTAAAGGCTAATAATTTGGAGCCTTTTTTAGAACATTCTAAAAGTACCTAAACAGAAATAAGCCCCACCTCATAATTCTATCCCCCATTTTACAAAAGTAGAAAGTGCTATAAATAAATTCAAACATCAAACCTCCTAAACCAAACTTCATGTCATATTTATCTTTAGTTCTGGGAATGTAAAAAATAAAATAATATGAACTTACAGCCTGGGCTTGCTGTTGGAATAATTCATTCTGATTCTCTTCATCTTCTGGGAAAGAGGGTAAACAAGAACTTCCAAAAGCAGCATTCAAAGTGTTTGGAAAAATACTTGTTTTCCTCTTAGGAGCTAAGTGAGCAGGATCTGAAGACCACATAGCTATACAGCCTTCTTTTTCTGCCTACATGAAGGAAGGAAAAGAAACAGTGAGCATCCACTCCAATCCACCATAATCAAGCATAATCAAATACTTCAACTTTAAGTAGGCTAAACATTTTTAGACGGAGGGGACCTTGAGTCCTGGTAATTCAGTAATTAATACTCAGTTGCCAATTGAAAGGTTGGCAGTTCAAAGCCACCAGCATCTCAATGGGGAAAAAATGTGGCTGTCTATTTTTTTGAAAGATTAGCACATTGGAAACTCTACAGAGCAGTCCTGCTCTTTCTTTGAGGCTCACTCCAAGTGGAAATCAGCGTGATGACAGCTGTTTGGGCTTACAAGAGCTTTAGCAAGCAAAAAAGTTACATTTACTAAATGCATGCTAATAACTTATACATCTCACCTAATACTTACAACAACTCTGTGAGACAAGACTATCTCCATTTTACAGATAAAGATACTATAGTACTGAGAAGTTTAGTAATTAGTCCAAGGCTACATATATACTAAATATTAAAGTCAGAACTCAAATTAAAATCTGAATTCAAAATCCTGAGACTGTTTTTAACTATCTGGTGAAATTTTAAAAGTGAGCCAGAAAAACACAGGAATAAAACATGAATTTTCCACATACAAAAAATTCGCTTTCTCCCTAACACACCACCATCAAAGGAATTCTGACTCGTAGTGACTCTCCACTGAGTTTCTGAGGCTGTAAATCTTTACGAGAGATTACTTATCTTTTTCCCTTAGAGCAACTAGGAGATTTGAACTGTCAATGTTTTGAATGCCAGCCTAGCAGGTTACACATTATGATTCTTTATGGTTACCTAATACATATATACACTTTCCATTCAATCTTTACTCAGGTCTACTTTTCAACTTACTGCTTCATAAGACCTCTGAAGTTGTTGCTTTTTTCTCAGCTTAATATGTTGATTTACTCTACGTTTGACTTGTTTCTGAAAGTGCTTCAAAGCTTCTTGTTTTTTTCTTAGCTGTTCCTTTAGTTCTTCTTCAATTACACATGCTGATGTCTTTGAAGATAAAAGAGAATTTAAACATCAGTCACTTTGACCTTTAGGGTTCTCTTGTAAACAAAACAGACCTGCAAAAAGAATTATGTCCTATAACCTAAAACCCCCAAAATAATAAGGAAATCACAGACATTCCAAGATGATAACCCAGAGTCACTGTGTACTTTCCGTGGGGTATTCTTATCCCACTTGTTATAGTGTAAGAAACTAGGACTCAAGAAATTGAACTAATTTGACCAACACCTACAGCTTGAAGTTTCTCTGATACCATGCTCTATGTTGTTTGTTGTTGTTACGGGCCATTGAGTCATTTGCGACTCATAGCGACCTTATGTACAGGAGCTCTAAACACCATTCTATCCTGTGCCAACCTCACTGTCTCAAACACGTTCATTCCCACCACTCCATTCACAGAATCGATCCATCTCATCGAGGGTCTTCCTCTCCTGTGCTGTCCCTCCACTTTCCCAAACATGATGTCCCTCTCCAAGGACCAGTCCCTCCTTGCAACATGCCCAAAGTATGTCAGATGAAGTTTCAGAGTTTTTGACTCCAGGGAACATTCTGACTTCACCCTCTGCAGGACAAACCTGTTTGTTCTCCTAGCAGTCCATGGTATAGTCAACACTCTTCTCCAGCACCACAACTCAAAGGCATCAATTCTCTATCATCCCTATTGACTGTCCAACTCTCCGATGCATAGCATGTAATTGCAAAGACTATAGCCTGGATCAGGTGCACCTTAGTGACCAGCCTGACATCGTTGCACTTCAGTACTCTTGAGAGGTCCCTCACAGCTGGCTTTCCCAATCCAATTCGTCTCCTGATTTCCTGGCTGCTGTTACCAAGAGTATTGACTGTGGAACCAAGTAAATGAAAACTGTTAACTATATCAATCTCTTCACCATCCATACTGATGCTGCCAATTGGCCCAGTGATGAAAATCTTTGTTTTCTTGATATTGAGCTTCAATCCATATTGAAGACTGCAGGCCCTGACCCTCTGCAGCAAGCACTTTAGGTCCTCCTCAATTTCAGCAAGCAAGGTTGTGTCATCTGTATAACGCAGGTTGTTGAGTCTTCCACCAATCCTGATGCCACATTCCTTCTCGTACAGCCCAGCGTCTTGGATGATCTGTTCTGCATACAGATTGAAAAGGTATGGAGACAAAATACATCCCTGATGGACCCCTTTCTTGATTTTGAACCATCCAGTGTCTCCCTGCTCTGTTTTAATGGCTGCCTCTTGGTCCAAGTATAGGTTTTGCATTAGCACAATCAAGTGTTCTGGGATTCCCATTCTTCTCAGAGTCAGCCATAGCTTGTTGTGATCCACACAGTCAAAAGCCTTTGCATAGTCAATGAAGCACAGATAGACATTCTTCTGGTATTCTTTGCTTTCTGCCAAGATCCATCTTACATTAGCTATAATATCCCTAGATCCACGACCTCTTCTAAATCCAGCCTGCACATCTGGCAGTTCTCTGTTGACATACTGCTCCAAACATTTTTGGATAATTTTCAGCAGAATCTTGCTTGCATGTGCTATCAATGATATTGTTCGATAATTTCCACACTCTGTTGGGTCACCTTTCTTGGGATTGGGAACAAACATCAATCTTCCAGTCAGTTGGCCAGCTGGCCGTCCTCCAGATTTCCTGGCACAACTTAGTGAGTACATCCAGGGCAACGTCTGTTCATTGTAATAAATCAATTGGTATGCTGTCAACTCCTGGAGCCTTGTTTTTTGGCAATTCCTTCATAGCAACTTGAACTTTCTCCTTCATCACCATAGGCTCTTTTTCATATGTTATTTCATGAAATTCCTCTGTGTCAGCCAATTCCCTATGATACAGTGACTCTGTGTACTCCTTCCATTTTCTTTTGATACTTCCTGGATCATTCAACATTCTACCCAAACTATCTTTAAGTATTGCCACTAATGGCTTGGATTTGTTTTTCAACTCCTTCAGCTTACGAAACGCTGAGCGAGTCTGGCCCTTTTGATTTTCTGACTTCAGGTCTCTGCACATTTCATTATAGTATTTTGCTTTGTCGTCCCGAGCTGCCTTTTGAAATTTTCTGCTCAGCTCTTTGATTTCTTGATTTCTTCCTTTAGCTTTGGCTTCTCGGTGCTCTAATGCAATACTCAGAGTCTCATCTGACATCCATCTTGGTCTTTTCTTCTTTAGCCTTTGTAATGATCTTTTGCATTATTCATGGACGATTTTCTTAATATCCTCCCAGAGCTCATTTGGTCTATGCTCATTGGTGCTCAGGGCCTCAAACCTGTTCCTGAGACGGTTTTGAAATTCGAGTGGGACAGACTTAAGGTCAAATCTTGGTTCCCGTGGATTTGACTTAATTTTCCTCAATGTCAGCTTGAATTTGCATATGAGTAATTGGTGGTCTGTGTCACAATCAGCACCCGGCCTGGTTTTCACTGCTGATATTGAGCTTCTCTACCAAGTCTTTCCACAAATGTAATCGATTTTATTCCTATGCATACCATTGGGGGAAATCCATCTGTATAGCCTGCGTTTATGTTTCTTATAAAAGGTATTTGTAATGAATAAATCATTGAATGTGCAGAACTCTATCATTCTATCTCCAGCCTCATTTCTCTCACCGAGCCCATGTTTTCTAGCTACTGATCCTTCCTCCCTGTTCTCAACTTTTGCATTCCAGTTGCCCATTATTATTAACACATTTTGATTGCATGTTTGATCAATTTCTGACTGCAAAAGTTGGTAAAAATCTTCTATTTCCTCCTCTTTGGCTCTAGTTGTTGGTGCATATATTTGAATGATAGTGGTATTCACTGGACTTCCCTGTATGCGTATGGATATTACCCATGCTCTAAAACATACTGCTTTTCTCTGGGCTTTGGGATTCAAATTCTCAGAATCAAATACATTTCAGAGAAATAACATTAAAAAGGTGTTGACTACATGATTCTCCAAGGTAGGTCATAAAGCTACTTCTGCTTGGAGCTCTCAGGATGCTCACATTTGAAAAAGCTGTTCACTATATATAAATTCTGACTACTTTTGGACAGGAGTCTGGGGTTTCGTCTGACATACTTTGGACATGTTGTAAGGAGAGACAGGTCCTTGGAAAGGGACATCATGCTTGGTAGGGTAGAGGGACAGCGCAGCAGGGGAAGGCCCTCTATAAGGTGGATTGATTCAGTGACTGGGGTAATCAGGATGGGTGTGTTGGAGGCAGTGCAATTGGCACAGGACAGAGGAGGGTTTAGGGCTGTTGTACATATAGGGTCGCTATGAGTCGCAAACGACTCGACGGCACATAACAACAACAACAACAACAACTTTTGGACTATCATGTTTGGTTTTTTGTTTTTTTCAGCATAAAAACAGTGGTTAAGTGCCATGAAGTATATGGCAATGTCTGAACCATATGCATTTTAAAAGGCCCAAGGGCCTCTTCCATCCTTGTCAAGGGGAATGCTAACCTTTTCTCCTTTCATACAACATGAACTATCTATCATGTTTTGAGAAACCTCACACTAATTGTATAAAGAGGGAGTGTGGAACAAATAAAGATGTCCAACCTCCATCCACTCTCATTAGCCTAGTCCAGAGGTCCTGTATGTAAAAAAGCCACCCATCTTGTCTATTTTCAGTCCAGCAGATGCACTATAGAGAAAAATCTAGGAACAGAGCATAAACTCTGTCTTCTTCAGCTACTTGAGTGACCCCAACTGAGCTCCTAGACAACATGGGACAGAGACAAGGTATGCCAGTTACATACAGCTCAATTTCCCAATTATTTGCTTTGTGCCATCAAGGGAGCTCTGGTACCCTAGTGGGAAGAAACTGTGTTGCAATCCCAAAGGCATGCAGTTTAACTTCAACAGTGGCTCCACAGTCTCCTTCCTTACAAATACTACCTCTGAAAATCCAACAGAGGGACAGTTTTGGGTCGGTTCCAACTTTACAACAGATAACAAGAAGTTCTAGGTTGATTTGTTATACAAGAATTATTTTTAGGTGCCAGCAAATCCAGTATGACTCATAGTGACCCTATAAACAACAGTCCTGAACTCTTTCCTATCCTGTGCCTTCCTCACACTTCCTGACACACTTGAACCCACTGCTGCAGTCACCATGTTAACCCATCTTGTTGGGGATTTTCCAGGCATGCTGTCTTTTTCCAAGGAACAGCCTCTCTTTGTAACATGTCCAAAGTATGAGAGACAAAGTTTCACCATCTTTGCATCCAAAGAGCACTCTGCCTATACTTTTTCCAAGACATATACCCATTTGTTCTTTTGGCAGTCCATGAGATACGCAGTCCTATTCTCCAACATCACAACTCAAAGGCATCAGGTCTTCTTTTTCCTCCTTATAAGAACTGTCCAGCTCTCAGATGAGCAGGAAGTGACTGAAATAACCATGGCCTGAACCAGGCACCCTTATGCAACAAGAGATAACCAGACATTACAAAATAATGTCCACATACAATGTCAGAGTAACAGTATATTTTGATGCTAATCATTGGTGAGGAACTTGGGCTACTATAGTTCCAGGAATTTTGATGGCCACTTGAAATTTGGCGGCTGTACTACTGAAAAGCAGTAAAAACATAAAACCAAGAATTAAGTCAATGAAACTAGAGCATGGAAGTAAACATCAAAAAAATCAAAACAACCCATACTACATTGCAAAAATCTGGTGCAAAAGACTTCTTTCCAGTGTTAAAGAGCAAAGATATCACTTTGAAGACAACAGTCACCTGACCTGAGCCATGGTTATTTTAAATGCACACAAAAGTTGAATAATAAGTAAGGAAGATAAAAAAAGAATTGATATTTTTTAATTCTGGTGTAATACTGAATATACAATGGCCTGCAGAAAAAGAATTAACTTGAAAATACCGACAAAGTACTCCTTAGTTGTTGGGGAATATTGGGGAAGAAGGGAGGGCCTCTGGCCAGGACAGATCGCCTAGCTCCAGATATGTGCAAACCTCCCAATGGCCTTTAATATTGGGCACAGAAAGCTCTCCTGTGTTTGGCCATACCAGCTTGGAAAAGCTCACCACCTGGGAAGATGGCTGCCACAGCTGTTGAGCTGGAAGTGGTCTGCACAAGGCTAAGGTTCTCCTATCCAATCCGCATGTCCCACGTCTGCAAGCCCACCCTATCCTGTCTTCCTGTTTACTTGCTCATATATAAGTGTGCTGCAGCCCCCAATAAAGTTTAGCTGGATTGACTCTGAACGGCTCCCAGAGTGGTGTGTTTCCGTCGTGCATACCCCCATCAGGGTGTCACTGTTCATTGCCAGCGAATGGGCAGCAACACTTAGTGAGGACAGCAACACTTCTTACATACTTTGGACATAGTCTTAGAAAGGGCAAGTCCCTGGAAAAGGTTATCATATTTGGTAAGTAACACTGTTGTTGTGTACTGTCTGAAAAGTAATGAGAGTCAGTGAAAAAGAGGAAGAACCTCAACAGGACGGAATGGCACAGGGGCTATAACAAGGAGCTCGAACAAATGTGAGGCTGGTGCTGGGCTGGACAAAGTTTCAATCTGTTGTACAAGTGGTTGCTAGGAGTTGTAACCGACACAATAGCACCTAACAACAATACTCAGTGTATGTTCTAAGATGACAGAGTTACATCTACTAATGGGAGTACTCTATAGGTAACACATGCCAAAGCAATAACACATTGCATTAAGGTTAATTAAACTACTGAGATGGATCAGTATTATCAAACCAGGGAAAGGAGACATACTTGTATATTTACCAAGAATTCAATATGAATATATGTGGGCCTGAGTTACAATCTTTTTTAACACACCACAAAAGAAAGAGTTTGGTGGTGTATAATTTGAGTATTCTGACACTATGGATAAAGAGATATCTTTAATTCATTGCTTAAATGATTTTAAGCAATGAAAAAGAAGTACCATGTAACTAGACACCTAACTCCCCACTGCCATTGAGTTCAACTCCTGATGACTCTCCATCAGAATCCTAAGGCTGTAAATCTTTATAGAAGGAGACTGCTCATCTTTCTCCCAAAGAGTGGCCAGTGGATTGGAGTGCCTGATGGATTGAACTGCTGAGTTTTCAATCAGCAGCCATCCCCTAATGCACGATACCATCAAAGCTCCTTACAGAGTACCAAGCAAGACAAACACAGCTGAGAACCAAAAAGTTGAAGCCACCACAAAGAAGTGTCTGACAATAATTTACTTCTCACACATTAGCCTCTGAAGACCCTATGGATCACAGCTCTGCTCTGATACAAAGCAACATCATGCTTGGAAAGGTGAAGGTCAGAGAAGAAGAGACCATCAAAGAGATGGACTGGTACAGGGCCTACAGAGATGGACTCAAGTGTTTTAGAGACAGTGAGGATGGCAAAGAATAGAACAGGGTTCCAGGGTTCAGATATATTGTTCATAAGGTTGCTATGTGTCATACTTGACTCAATGGCATCTAACAACAACAACATTTATTAACAGTCATGAACTCACTGACAACCTGAAAGCCTAAGATTGTTGTTGTTGTTATGGGCTATTGAGTCTCTTGTGATTGATAACGACCCTATGTATAACAACCCTAAACACTGCTCTGTCCTGTGCCAATCACACCGTCTCTGATACACCCATCCTGATTACCCCAGTCACTGAATCAATCCACCTCATAGAAGGCTTTCCCCTCCTGAGCTGCCCGTCCACCCTACCAAGCATGATGTCCCTCTCCAAGGACCAGTCCCTCCTTACAACATGTCCAAAGCATGTTAGATGGAGCCTCAGAATCCTTGCCTCCAAGGAGCCACCCAGTTTAACCCTTTCCAGGATGAATCTGTTTGTTTTCCTAGCAGTCCATGGTACTCTCAATACTATTCTCCAGCACCACAGCTCAATGGCATCAATTCTCCTTCTAACCTCCCTAGTCATTGTCCAACTCTCTGATGCATAACAAGTGATCACAAAGACCACGGCCTGTATCAGACACACCTTAAGTCTCCAGAGAGACACCATTGCTCTTCAGTACTTTGGAGAGGTCCCTAACAGCAGATTTTCCCATGGCAATATGTCTTTCAATTTCCTGGCTACTGGTGCCAAGAGTGTTGACTGTGGAGCCAAGCAAACTAAAGCTGTGAACAATTTCAATCTCTACACCATCCATTCTGATGCTTCCCATTAGTCCAGTGGTGAGAATCTTTGTCTTCTTGATATTGAGCCTCAATCCATATTTGAGGCTGCAGTCCTTGACCCTCTGCAGCAAGCGCTTCAGGTCCTCCTCAGTTTCAGCAAGCAGGGTTGTGTCATCTGCATATCTATTGATAGATCTTCCACCAATCTTGACCCCACATTTCTCCTCATAGAGCCCAGCCTCCTGGATAATCTGTTTTGCATACAGGTTGAAAAGGTATGGAGATAGGACACATCCCTGGCATACGCCCTTCCCAATTTTGAACCATGCAGTGTTTCCTTGTTCTGTTCTGACGACTGCCTCTTGGTCCAAGTATAGATTAAGGGCTAAGAATAATTTCCCCTATGGCAACCTCCTGTGTATAGTTCAGAACTAATTGTTCCAGTGAGTTTTCAAGGTTGTGACCAAATGGAACCAGACCACAAAGCCCATCTCCCAGGGTACCTATGGATTGATGGTTTTAGCATTCAATTTTTTCAACAGTAGCCAGGTGCTCAACACCTGTACTGTCGCGGGGATGGCAAATTATGGTGAATACAATTAATCCACCAACTAAAGCTTATCTACAGCCCTGATTTTTAAAACTATTTAAACATACTAGAAACAGCATCACCAATCTATTAATCTGTATCCAGGCACGAGAATTAGAGAAGGCGAGTAAAAAGAAAGGGAACCCACCACCATATTTGGCTCAAACTGGCACTCACATAGGCTGGAATTTCCTCGTTAAGTGCTGAGGCCGGCTCCACCCACGCCCCGACGGGCACCACAGCCTGGTTCCGCTCGGCCAGCACGGCCAGCACGGCCTTGCTCTTCAGAGGGTTCAATGCCAGGGGCAACCGTGGGGTGCTTGGAGGCTTCTTGAGGGGAGCCATCCTTCCTGGCATCTGTAACTCTTTGGGTGAAATGAAAAGCAAATCAATGCTTTAAAGTACCTACACTAGAGTCACAGGGCCCAGAAAAGGAAAGCAGCCCCGGGGAGCTGGGAGTCAAGAGCAAGGATTCTAGAGTAAAAAGAAGAGTTTTATAGGGTGAGGAAGAAATAAAGAGGGAAAGGAATGGGAGTCAGACATAAAAGGACTGGATCAAGCAAACGAAGACTGGCACAGGGGGTGGGCAGTTAGGTGAGGACGGTGGATGACAGTAACAGCCGGATGGGAAAGAAGGGAGATGGGGACCTGAAATGAATTACTCGTAACCGGTTACAGGCGGGAAACGCACCACGGCACTGAGTCCAAGACCAGATAAACTCTCTCCAGAGGACACGGGGTCCCACTTGGCTGAGACAGGACTGGCCCGACGACTATCCGCAGCCGGCCTAGACTTGAACTCGCCTGAACACTAAGGAAACCGTTTCCAGCAAACCGCCACTTTTTGCCCCGCAGCCGGGCCCCGCCCCTCTGTGGCTTCACCCGCCCCTTCCGGTCTGCGCCTCCGCTCTCCGGGTCGTGAAGGCGTGAGGGGCGGGGTCTCGGCCAGCGCCCCTCACTTTCGCTTCTGACGTTAAAGGGCGAGGCTTTTGAGGTTGCCGGAAGTGAGGGGTGAGTTTGCGCTGGGGCAGGTGCTGAAATGTTCTTGTGACACGTCTTTGTCACAGAGGGGCTTGGAACTGTTTGTTGTTAGGTGCCTTGGGGGTCAACTCCAACTGCGAAAAGCTAGAAAGTACTAAGAAAGTTTAAATATCCTGTAGTAGGTTGAAACCAAAATTTCTTTGATTATCTTTTAAAAGTAAAAAGTGTTTCAGGGAGCTCTGCTGGCCTCGTGGCAAAAAGCTGCACTGCAATTCCAGAGTATGCAGTCCAAATCCACCAGTTGCTCTGCTGGAAAAGGAGGGATAATCTCCTCCTGTACCAGTCAGATCCGATTTGACGCTACAAACACACAAAATAATAAAATGGGAGGGGGAGAAATGTTTCATCTATAACGTCAATTGAAAGAGACTTATTTATTAGGCTGTAGCCCAGGACCCTTCTAGCCCCAGAACTCAAATTCTTTGCTGTAGAATTGAAATCAACTCTTAGCTGGCCTTGCACTGGACTTCTAGGCTTTAAATCTCATGGGGAGAGACCTCATCTTTGACACCTGGAGCTGATGATGGATTTGAACTGCCACAGAGAGTGACACCCTTTGAGTGCAATACCTTAGGACTGGACCAGCTCAGTCTCTATCAAACTGAAATATTTTGTTTTCTCTCCACCCTGCAATTGAGAGCTAAGCTCTACTCCATTTTCAGTAACATCTTGTCTAACTCTTAACTTTTTTACCTTGTATGGAAGAAAACATATTCTCCCAGGTTTGCTCCGCCCAGGGTTGCTATGGCCCATTATCAGAGAGAACATGGTACTGTTTGGGTGGGTGTTGTAGTAATTTTCCGATGCAAAGGACTACTCTACCTCCAGGAGCCAGACAAGCCAGGCTTGGCCTAGGGTTTAAGGCAGCAACAGAGGGCTTCATTGTTTTTGTTGAGACATTCCTCTCTAGGTCGTATAGCCCTGGTGTACAAGTTGCCGTCCAGCGGTCACTTTTGACTGCTGTGAGGCTGAACACTGTGACACCGATGTGTCAAATGCGTTAATGGTTGGCTACCCAATGCGAACAGAAAGTGGGGTGGAGCTCCCCGATTAAAACAAGCTTGGAAGGATGAGTGGCATCTACTTCCATAATAGCTTGCCTACGGAAGCCTATGAACCTGGAGAGAGGATGAAAGGCACCCAAGCATCGAAGAGTCGCTATGAGTCGCCTGCAACTCAACGGCACTTAACAACAACAACATGGAAGAAAAATTTTTCAGTATACAAGAATGACTTTAATTTTGTTGTTATTTAATTTTTTAACTTTAGCTGAATTACTGCTAAGATTGCTCTGAATTGCATACCTTCCAATTTTTCCAATTTTTTTTCCCACTTTACATGATGTGCTAAGCAAAACTATTTTTTTTTCTAACAAAGTAGTTTTCCAATGTGGTAGTGGTGTTGACCCCTCACATTTCGAAACACAAAGAGGAGAAAGTTGTAGAAGAAATTAGCAGCTGGTACCTGGAATGTGAGAAGCATGAATGTAGGAAAACTAAACATTGTAAAGAAAAAAATGGAAAACAAACATTAACATATTGGGTATTAGTGAAATTAGATGGATTGGCATGGAACATGTTGAATCCCACAATCATATGACCTATTATGCTGGAGATAAAAAGGTGAGGAAAAGCGAGCTCGCCTTCATAGTTAAAAAGACCATCTAGATCTATCTTGAAATACAATATTATGAGTGACAGGATAATATCCATACGCATACAAGGAAGACCTGTTAATACCATTTTCATTCAAGTTTATGCACCTACAACCAGAGGAAAAGAGGAGAAAACAGATGATTTCTATTAACTGTTGCTGTCAGAAATTGATGTAACATGTAACCAAGATACATTAATAGTAATGGGTGACTGGAATGCAGAAGTTGGGAATCAGGAAGAGGGATCAGTAGTCGGAAAATATGGACTTGGTGACAGAAATGAGGCTGGAGGTAGAACGGTAGAATTCTGTACAATTAATGATTTATTCATAGCAAATACCTTTTATAAGAAACATAAATGCATGTTATACACATGAAATTCACATGATGAGATGCACAGGGATCAGATTGGTTACATCTGTGGAAGGAACCATTGGAGAAGTTCAATATTAGCAGTGAATACTAGGCCAGGTGCTGACTGTGGAACAGGCCATCAACTGCCCATATGCAAGTCCAAATTAAAATGAAGATTAAATCATATCTACAGGAATCAAAATTTGACCTTCATTCTATCTCCCAGAATTAAAAACCAACTCAGGAATAGGTTTGAGGGCTTAAACACTAATGAATGAAGACCAGATAAGCTGTGGGAAGATATCAAGAATATTGTTCAAGAAAAAAGCAAAAAGTCATTTAAAAGAAGAAAATACCAAAATGGATGTCAGAAGAGACTCTGAATATTGCACAAGAACGCCAAGAAGCCTAAGAGATCAAAAGAAAGAAGCAAAGGAAAGAAATTAAGGAGCTAAATAGAAGATTTCAAAGGGCCACTCAAGAAGACAGGCAAAATGTTAGAATGAAATGTGGAAGGAGCTGGAGTCAGGAAATCAAAAGGGCCGAACTTGCTCAGTATTTCTTAACCTGAAAGAATTGAAGAATAAATTCATGCCCCAAGTGGCAATACTTAAGGATGCTATGGGCAGAATATTGAATGATTCAGGAAGCATTAAAAGAAGATGGAAGGAGTATAAAGAGTCATTGTACCAAAAAGAAGTGGCTGGCACAGAGGAATTTCAAGAAACAACATATGATTAAGAGGCAAAGGTGATAAAGGAGGAAGTGCAGGCTACTCTGAAGGACTTGGCAAAAAAGAAAGCCCCAGGAATTGAAAGAATACCAACTGACATATTTCAGCAAACAGATTCTGCTCTGCATGTGCTCACCAAGTTGTGCCAAGAAATCTGGAGGACAACTACTTGGCCAACTGAATGGAAGAGATCTATATTTATTTCCATTCCAAGAAAAAGGTGACTCGACAGAGTATGGAAATTATTGAACAATGTCACCAGTATCACACACACCTCCTGAAGATTATCCAGTAAAGACTTGAACAATACATTGACAAAGAACCACCAGAAATACAAGCGGGGTTTAGAAGAGGTCATGACACTAAGGACATTATTGCCAATGTCAGGTGGATCTTGGCAGAAAGCAGAGAGTACCAGAAGAATGACTATCTGTGCTTCATTGACTATGCAGAGGCATTTGACTGTGTGGATCATAATAAATTGTGGTTAACTTGAATCTTAGAACACTTGATCATGCTTATATGAAACCTATACTTAGACCAAGAAGTAGTCCTCAGAACAGAGCAAGGAAACACTGAATGGTTCAGAATCAGGAAAGGAGTGCGTCAGGGATACATCCTGTCCCCATACCTTTTCAATCTATATGCAGAGCAGATCATTCTGGAGGCAGGGCTTTATGAGGAGGAATGTGGCATCAAGACTGGAGGAAGACTCATTAACAACCCATGATATGCAGATGACACGACCTTGCTTGCTGAAACTGAAAAAGACCTGAAGCACTTGCTCAACATCAAGAAGACAAAGATTCTTAACACTGGGCCAATTAGCAGCACCATAATAGATGGAGAAGAGATTGAGGTTGTTAGCAATTACAGCTTGCTCAGATCCACAATCAACACTCTTAACACCAGCAGTCAGCATTGGAAAATCTGCTGTCATGGACCTCTCCAGAGTGCTGAAGAGTAACGATGTCAGTCTAGATACAAGCGGTGCACCTAATCCATGCCATGGTCTTCTCAATTACTTGTTATGCTTCAAAGAGTTATAAAATGACTAAGGATGACAGAAGAAGAATAGATGCCTTCAAATTGTGGTGCTGGAAAATAGTCTTAAACATACCATGGACTGCCAAGAAAACCAATTGGTTTGTCTTGGAGAAGGCAAAATCAATTCTCTCCTTGGAGGGGAGGATATTGAAGCTCCACCTCACTTACTTTGGGTCTGTGGCCAGGAGAGATCCGCCTTTGGAGAAGGACATCGTGCACAGAAGGGTGGACGGACAGCACAGGAGAGGAAGACCCAGATAAGGTGGATTGATATAATGGCTGGGGCAGTGCGGTGTGTCAGAATTAATGAGACTGGCTCAGGACACAGAAGGGTTCAGAGCTGCTGTACATAGGGTCGCTATGCATTGCAGGCAACTCAATGGCACATAACAATCATAATAACAACAATAATATTATGACAGTTGTAGAGGGGCTTCAGGTCTTTTGTTCATAGGTGCGCTATTTGTCGTGCTCAACTAGAAGGCAATCACAACAGTGGTGTTATGTAGCATCAAGTCACTTGCAATT